GTTTGGCCAAACAGAGGTGGGCCAGACAGATTTTGCTATCTGGATTGTTGTCATGTACAATCATTTGCCTGTTTTTTTTATTATTATAATTAAATTAGATTAGATTCAACTTTATTGTCCTTACACATGTACAAGTACAAGGCAACGAAATGCAGTTTAGGTCTAACCCAGGAGTGCAATAGCAGCAAGTGCAGAATTTAGGTAAGTAATAAAGGGGAATTATAAAAAACGATGGTGATATTTACAGATGGTTGTACTATGAACATCATATACAGGTTGTAATAACTATGAACAGAGATTTACAATAGTTGAATATATGTGAAGTTTGTTATTAATAATCAGAAGTGTGCAAATAGATCTGAATATAATTATAAATATACAAAATGTATGTGTACAGTGGGTAGAATTCAAGATAAAATACTGCAATGTAGTTGATTAATATGTGCAATTTTACATGTCCAAATATTAAATAAACCATAAATAATGCAGTGTTTATGGGGAGTGTAAGTTATGAGTAGGCCCACGCGGAATGTACAGACACAGAAATCCGCAGATTTTAGCCCATCATTGTATCTAAGTATACTTGTGTAAATGTGTGTACATTTATATTTATTCAGTTTCTAATTTAATTTCAGTAATATTGTTGACTAATATGAAAATATTCATATGATTTATTTACAATACAGTTTGTAAAGTCCTATTTTCTGTCTTTTAGTGGATATATTATATGATAGACTTGCTTTGTTTACCAAATAAAGTGGATCTATGTGGATTTGCATTGTAAACATTAAATAAAAGTTAAAAAGCAATTATTTTTATTTCATATATTAAGTTTTTAATTATGATACTACCAAAATAATTTCGCGTAAATTCGCAGAATTTTTACAAAATTCTGCAAAAAATGTCCGCAGATTCTGTCTGACCCTAGTTATGAGGAGAGTGTGGGGTGTATGGGGGGGGCAGAGTTCAAAAGGGGAAAAGCTGTTCCCCAGTCAGTTTTTGTCCCCCACTTTATACCCCACTTCCAGCCATAAGTACAATATTTGCAATCATTTCAATCATTTCATTGTTTTATCCCACATTAACAAAATACAAAAGCAATATACTGTTGTTTTTAAAGCATGCTATAGTAGTGTATTATACTGCATATATTAGTATTTGGGGCTGCACAGTGCCTCACAGCAAGAAGGTCACTGGTTCGAGCCTCGGCTGGGTCAGCTGGCATTTCTGTGTGGAATTTGCATGTCCTCCCTGTGTTTGCGTGTGTTTCCTCCAGGTGCTCTGGTTTCCCCCACAAGTCCAAAGACATGCGGTACAGGTGAATTGGGTAAGCTAAATTGTCTGTAGTTTGTATGTGTGTGTGAATAGGAGTGTATGGATGTTTCCGAGTGATTGGTTGCAGCTGGAAGGGCATCTGCTGCATAAAACATATAGATAAGTTGGTGGTTCATTTCACTGTGGCGACCCCAGATTACTAAAGGGACTAAGCCGAAATAAAAATGAAGGAATGAATGAAATTTAGTATTTACGACTCTTTGCTACAGCATACTGTAACAAATAGTAAACTGATAAACTGTAATAAATATCAGTAGTGTACTTTAGGTTTCACGAATTGTAGTGTAATATACTGTTGTGGAAAAAAATGACAACTAGACAGGTTAACTTAAGTGCTTTACTGTAGTATATGGTTCAAAAACACCTATTATTGTTTACTTTAAAATACTACATTATTTTTCATGTGGTATTACAAAAAAAAGACTTTAAATATGCCTTATAAATGCTAAGTACCATATAAATGGACACAATATTAAGACTACAGGGTTACTTTTAAAGTGTTTATAGTTGCTTTCTTATTAGAAATTTAGGCAGCTGAAACCACTTCTGTTAAAATTGTTACAATCTTTTAATTTAAAATGCTTTAATCATTTTGTATGCCTGGATGCTATATTAAAAATAAATCCAACATGTAGTTTTTGCACACTACAGATGGATTTGACAACAGCTGCACTTTCTCAATTCATAACCAATTAAACAATGGAATGAAAGATATATTTAGCCTCGAGTATTACTGTATTACCTACCTGTCTAGCATCACCTTAAGTTCCGTCCCAATGGCAAGCACAATTTGAGTGGGTGCGCTGATATTCAGTCGAACGGTCCGCTGATACATGTTTGTCGCAGTGAACTTGTTCTTCTTTTGAAGAATCGGAGGTAAGTTGTGTGAGGCCGTTTGCTCCTGCGAAACATTCATTGTTACCGACTTCCACGTCTGCAGATCTCAAGTAACCTGTTTCTTCTGTGAAATAGGAGTATATAATGCAGCAGGAGAGAAAAGACATGTTCTCACCTGTCGAAAAGCTTGCTCGAAGCTAAATTTTAAAGGTTTTGCATAGAAAGCGTTTGAAAGGAATGTGGGCTAGTTTGAACTATGCTTTTCAGCAAAACCTAAAGATTTTGTTAGTTGTTTAATTCATATAAAACTGATGTGTGACAATTGATTTTTGTTTTGCATTTGCAGCATTATGCAAAGGAAATACCTGTTTTTTTTGCACAATATTTTGATATTCATATGAATATGTGTCTCATTATTTTAAAAAATAGTGATCTTACATACTTGCAAGTGAAGAGTAAGAGTTTCAGTAGTTTAAAACGACTTTAACAACAGATATTTTACAGACAAAAATCTTTTACATTTTAAATAAAACAACATTTTGTTTGTCCAATTGTAGTCTGTCCAAGTAATGCTTGCTACATGCATTAATTAACATCAAATAAGTCATCATGAAGCTGCTTAGGCAGTTTGGGTGTGACAAATAAAATAGCTGCAGGCTTCATTTCTACAAGCCATTAAATGTAAGACAGTAAATATGTCTTATCATGTCAAAGCAGTTGTGTTTTTTCTTCACCAACGGCTTTCAAACAAAGTTTATCTAAAGGTTTGTCTTTTTTTGTATTTTTAACTTCAGTCAACCGATTTTGTATTTGAATGATATATTTGTTTTTATAGCTATCATGAGTACAATGTACTGATGTCAACTGACGCAAGAGTAGTTTAAAAATATCTCCTCTCACAATAGCGTCTAATTTATATTTTGAGTTAGATCGAGAGTCTAGTCAGAGAACTGGCTCTTAGCACATACATACGACTTAGATCATTTCAGGGTTACACATCAATAAATAAAGTCTTTTCATTACTTCATATTTGAGATGGTTTCTGTAGGATTCACTCATAGAAAACAATTAAATGCTCTTTTATTCTCTGTTTATTATATTTATTCTTTAATCAGTTCAACAATTATGTCAGGAATTATGCCTGCTATGATGTTAGGAAAGAATAACATTTAAATAAATACTACATGAATTCAAATTACTATATTATACATGTATATTTTGTGCAGAGTAGACTTTGACCTCTTTATTAGTACAATTTAATATTAATATTAACTTTATACAATGAAAAAGAAAATCATGCATATTGTGATTAAATGGATGCAATGCAACTGAAAGGATGTTATAATATGTTACATTAAAAGTAGTGTTTGTTGTTTGGTCAAGTTACTTATTTAAAATGAGCTGAGACAACACATTTCTTGAGGGTTTTTGTGATTACTTAATTGTTTTATGTTTAATCCACTTAATTTTTTAAAAACTTAAAAGTAACTCAATTTCTTCATGTTGTTCCATGATTTTCCTTCAGCTTAGTCTCTTTATTCATCAGGGGTTGCCACAGCAGAATGGACCGCCAACTTATCCAGCATGTTTTACAAAGTAGGTGCCCGACCTGCTGCAACCAAGTACTGGAAACACCCATGCAATCATTCACACACACATTCATACACTACGGACAATTTTGTTTATTCATTTAACCTATAGCACATGTCTTTGGATTGTGAGGGAAACCGGAGGAACTGGAGGAAACACACACAAACTAATTTAGTAGAATTATTGTTTTAAAAAGAAATAAACTTAACTGCCCAACAAACTTAAAAGAAAGCTGTGGCTAAAATAAGAAAAAATATTTACTTCCCTGGTGAAAAAAACAGCTTGGCTGGTTTTAGCTGGGCAACCAGTCTGATTTTAGAGGGGTTTTGGCCATTCCAGTCTGATTTCCAACCATTTCCAACTTGGAATCTAAGACGAGGCTGGAAATTGCTGGAAACAAGCATGGAATGGCCAAAACCCCTTTAAAACCAGGCTGGCCATTCAGCTAAAACCAGCCAACCAGCTTAGGCTGGTTTAAGCAGAGCTTTTTTCAGCAGGGATTGATTCTTACAGAAGGTCAACCCGTTCCATGTAACATAGTTATTACAAAAAATAAAAATAAAAAAGGTAGTGAAGAAATAAATAATACCACAAGAATCATTCATTCATTTTCTTTTGGCTTAGTCCCTTTATTAATCAGGGGTCGCCACAGCGGAATGAACCGGCAACTTATCCAGCACATGGATTACGCAGAGTATGCCCTTCCAGCCGCAACCCATCACTGGGAAACCCATATACACTCATTAACTACAGATAATTTAGCCTACCCAATTCACCTATAGCAGGGGTGCCCAAACTCAGTCGTGGAGGGCCGGTGTCCTACAAAGTTTAGTTCCAACTTCATTAGACATACCTGGGCAGGCTAATCAAGCTCTATATGCATTCTAGAAACATTCATGCAGGTGTGTTGCAGCAAGTTGAAGCTAAAATAGGACACCAGCCATCCAGGACTGAGTTTGGTGCATGACTTTGGACTTGTGAGGGGGAAACCGGGGCACCTTGGGAAACCCATGCCAACATGGAGAGAACATGCAAACTCCACACAGAAACGTCACCTGACCCAGCCGAGGGTCGAACCAGCGACCTTCTTGCTGTGAGGCGAACATGCTTATCACAAGAATGATTGCACTTGAATAGTTTTTACTATGGACTCAGTGTAATGCTTAACTTTATTTTTAAATTCTATAAAACATTGATTTTAAAAGAATAAGAATTGCAATTGCCAATAAAAAACGGCCATTATAATATTTAAAACAAAATATTTTTAAAGAGTTTTCATCTGAAAAGAAGTCAAGTTTGACGGACTATTCAACAGGCCAATGACTAGAGTCCTCCATATCCACGTGACCAGAGAGGTGTATCACGTGTCAACGGAAGAAGATGCTTTTGTTTTTCCCAAGGAAAAAAGTCGGGGAACAATGTTTGGAAATGCGATTTTCCAGCCATATCACACATTTATCCCAATAGCAAAATCGCAGTCGCATACAGAACATGACCTCTTCTGGAATATTTGAGCCCCGTTTTGGAGTCTCGAAGCTTGTTTGACGCTCCGTTTGGAAATTCCTTGAAGCTGCAGAGATTGAAGCGGAAGAAGGGAATTTCGCAGGGACGAACCGAGTGATGGCTCCGGATTAATTTATGAACTTCTTGCAATGTTTCTCAGCTCAATTCGGATTCGTTCTAAATCATATCTATGTTCTAAATCACAGATTAGTCTCTGTGTGTTATTAATGTCATAATTTAAACCAAACGTTAGCGATCTAGAAGCTCAAAATGGCGGAGGGCAGGCCCATCCCCCAGGCCCTGTTCCTGCTCATAGTGAGTGTCGTGGGCCTGGACACTTGCCCTTCTCCCTGTTCGTGTTCTGGTGGTCCGGGAGCAGCACAATTGCTGGATTGTAATAGGAAAAGACTGACTGCAGCAGCTCTGGAAGCTCCAGCCTGGGTCACCCACGCGTGAGTATCTATCAGACGAGATGTTGTTTACATGCCCTGATGATGATGATCAGCCTCCAGCTGTTTGCAGAAGCTGCACATGTGCACCATAGTAATAATATACATTGAGGTAAAGTTGCTTTTATATTCGCACATTCGTTCAGTGGAAATTATGGCATGTCTGAAATCACATTTATGACTTACAACATTAGCGCTGTATATTTGACTGGTGTACTTTGCTTCCAATAATCTATATGTTTAGAGTTTTCTATTTAGAATTTGCAAAGAATAATTCTCTGAAATTAAATTATTAAGGAGAAAGTCCGAATGTGTGAATGATAAAAACAACTTTATCTCTATGTATTATAATAGTGACAGCCAATTAGTGGAAAATTGATAGTTTGATCAATTTTAGTAGTGTTTACGCTAGTTGTTCGTCAAATTGTGGTTTACGTCCTTCATTTTAAGCGTCATACGATTTCTTGAAGAAATAATATTATAAAGATAGTTCTTTTTCTTCGTAATTATACTAAAACAAAAACCCAAGTGTCATTAAAATGGTAGAAATTAATATTTGCTTCCAATAAATGCAGAAACGTGATTACACTTCAGTTTGATGCACAATTTTCTATGGCTTTCTCTTACTAATAGTAATTTATTCTAAATAAATGATTTTTAAAACTGAATAAAATGCACTGGTGTTAAAGTAAATTTATGTTTAATCGTGTTCATGATAATTTGATGGTTAATCGTGTTAAAATGTGATATCAATATGATAAAATGTAAATATCATATATTATATATTGGTGTTTTTAAGTTCCATAATCTCACTATGACACATCAAATGGGACATAAAAACTTAGATGTGTTGTTATTAAACCAGTAATGAAGCGATTGTTCACCCCAAAAATGTTCTCTCTCTCAGGCCATCCAAGGTGTAGGTGACTTTTCCAAATGAGAACGGATTTAATCTGAAACCGTGGTCCTTGGTGATTGATGAAATGCAAGCTAATCACTATCAGCACTTATAGAATCAAAAATCACACGAAGGCAATACTAAATTAAAGGAATAGTTCAACAAAAATTGAAAATTACCTCTTCATTTACTCTCCCTTGTGCGGTTTTAAACCTTTATGACATTCTTTTTTGTGTCGAACACAAAAGAAGATAGTTTGAAGAATGCTGGTTTCCAGGATCCATCGACTTCCATTGTAGGAAAACAAAAGTTATTCATATGAAAATCGATGGATCCTGGCAACCAGCATTTTTCAAACAGTCTTCTTTAGTGTTCAACAGAAGAAAGAAACTCAAATAGATTTTTAACAAGCGAACGGTGAGTAAATGATGGCAGAATCTCTTTAAGTCAAGCAGTGAGCTCACGAAGTGCATGAATTTGAATAGAATTAATAAAATTATTAATTTCACAGCCCGTATGAACAGTGCTGAGTGTGTTCACAACAGGTTGCAGTGTGAGCTTTCTTTCACATAATGATGTGTATCAGGTTTTGAGGTTTCTTTTTGAGATTTAATTTTTATGCGAGGAAGCTTGCTCGGGTTTTAAATATTTTAATGATTGTTTCCATACTTATTTTTTTTGCATGCGAGTACCCCCAGATAACATTTAGTTTTTTTATTTACACATTTTCATTCATGTTATTTTGTTGTTTCTTTCTAGAAATTACTTTGGTAGACTTTAATAATTTGCTTTATTTGATTCTAGGTCTATAAATCAGAATGAACTTACAGCAGTGCCTTTTCTTGGAGACGCCTCATCCAACATCACTGTGCTGTCACTGTAAGTTTTCTCCTTCAGGCTCTTTATAACTGACAATACTGTTTACACTACACGGATTGCGTGATTTGTTTACTATTTTACATTTCATTAGGAGTGATAGGTTGTGAATATTGTTATGGGACGTCTGTAACCATCTGTTGTTTATTTTCAGTGTTCATAACCGAATCTCTGAAGTGGTGGCGGAGCAGCTGTTGCCATATTCATCACTGGAAAGTCTAGACTTGAGCTCTAATTCTATATCAGAGCTTAAAGCTGGATCATTCCCTCCCATGCAGCTAAAATACCTGTGAGTTTGTTTGTTTTTTTGCCTGTGTTTTTGAACTTGTGTATGTCGAGCACTTTAGTATAATGGCCCGATTCTGCTGAGTGGGACAGTATGGTACGGGTTGGTACGGGTCACCTTTATCAGGCTTGCATTTCCACTGCAAAAAGGTACCAATGGTAAGCGTGAGTATGACAGAAATTTCATTTGATGTCATTCTCGCTCAAGGAAATGTCAAAGTAAAGCTGTACGGGTCGTTCACATATCATATGAGAAGCACTTTACACACATAAATACTTGTGTATAAATGTTCATTACTAAACTTTCTATAAACAGAATTTGATTAACTGCAGATCAATGATGCAACATATATGTGAAGCAGTGCGAAATAGCCTACTGTAACATCTGCAGATATATAAAATAAATAGATGCAACATATATGAACACATTCAGACCTTTACAGTCTCCAATGTTGCCAATTACAGATAAACTACACAGCATAAATTAAGTCCTCATTTGGGTTCAGAAACAATACGCAACATATAGCCCACAGTAATCTCTCATCTGTGTCTTTAATCTTCACCAGCACATGTAACCTCTGTTAGAAAGTAATTCCGTCATTCCGAGTTTATAATAGTCCAAAAGGTGATGATGATAATAGTTAAACATGGCAGTTTGTTCATGTTTTAGGTTGCTGAAAAAAATGATTTGCTTATTTTTGTTGAGCTTTTCCTTTGTTTTTTTTGCTCTTCACTCTCGCGTTTGTCTGTTTCTGAAAGGATCGGATGTCAGAAGCACTTCAATAATCACACACACGTTATTATCACCAGCTCAAGAAGTTTGGTATTTCAAATATAGGCACGCACAAGTGAAATCGCTTGTGCTTTAAATGGCCGTGTAAACAACTACGGGGCACAGGGTAGTAGTTCTTCTTTTCTTCTTGGCTTTGTGGCTGTTCATCATGACAACGACAAGGTTTGTTTAAGCTTGGGTCGACCATGGCTCGTTATAATATGTATATATTATTATGGTGTAATGTCTCAGCTGTGTTGTTAAGAATGGCAGTTCCTTTGTTTTCATTCTCCTGCTTGTCCACGAGCTATCTCCGCAAACTAATATTGTTCAGCTGTGTTTTGCTCTGCCTTTTGGTACCCTTTTGTGGTGTTCAAAAGTGGTACGATACATTTCGCTTTTAGGTGACTTTCAACAGTGGAAATGGCCATAAAAATGTACCGAACCATACCGTATCATACCGTACCACTCAGATGTTTGCTAAAGTTATGGCCCGTTTTCCACTTAGTAGATTAAGAGAGCTCATTGTTATAAGAATCTGTGCACATTTTTTGTATTTCTGTAAAGAGTATTATATTAAAAAGTCAGAGGATTTATGTGAAATGATTTTGAGAGAATAGTGACTAAAAACTTGGCACACGAAAAAAAAAGAATAAACATTTATTTAAGGATTACAATGCAAATTCAATTCGAACTACTATGTAAACAAAGTAAGTCTCTCATTAAATATATCTACTAGAAGACAGAAAATATTGTTTTGTTTGTTAGTTTTTTAGACTTTTTTTCATTGGGATTAATAATTTACCCATTGTAAGTAATGCATTACAATATTGAGTTACTCCCAAAAAAGTCACTAGTTGCATTACTTGCATTACAATGTGTTTGCTACATTTTTACCTTTTTGTTTTATTAGTGAATTCAAATCACTGTCCATTGAGACAATCCCCTTTTCCTTTTCTTTGATGCGTTAAAAACAGAGCGCATTGTCTCATTTTGGATATGCTCATATATGATATCAAATATGGCTGATGGAAACGCCAAGATCCTCATTCATTTTAAAAATGTGCAATACATTTTTTTGGATAAACTTTTCATTTGGTAAGAAAAAAATGTGCATAAACTGCGATGGAAACACTTTTGCAAACAAATTCCAGTATTCACATTAAAAAAGTAATGTGATTATTATATATATATTTATTTAATAAGAGATCATGTGATGAAAATGTGTGTGAATGGAAAAATCAGCAGGCTGAGCATTTTGTAAAATATCTGAAATGTTGTTTTGGTCATTCTAAAACGCCATAACCATTTCAGTAATTGTGTTGTTATATCATTAATTATCTCCAGAATTTTAAAGAGTGTCTTTGCTTCGCATCTCATGACCTTCAAACCCCACCACACATTCATTGTGTGTCAGCTTTGTCTTCTGAGGCGCAAGTTAAATAAAGAAAAGATTCACGCAGCTTCTCCTACCTCAATAAATTCCATTCTTACTTTTGATATTTGGCACCAGTTAATCAGGAAGTGATGATTTAGTTCTCTTTGACTCATTGGATGGAAATGCTGCTTTATTCGCATGTCTTTTATGCAATATTGCAGTTTTGCACATAAATTTACTTCACATGTTTGGATGGAAACATAGCTACTGAGTGCGTGATTTAACATGACTATTCATTTTAATTCAGCAGTTTATTTTTTAGAAGCTATTTCATTTTAAAAAAGTACCTCGGATTACATTTTTAAGAAGTTAATTTAAATATTTTTCCTTTTTTTGTTAAAGTAATGCATTAAATATCATGATTAAATTGTTGCTTTGATCTTTGTTTTGTATTTGAATAATTGACGTATTTAATGGTTTGTTTGTTTTTTTTTTGACTGGTTTTGACATTCATGCATGTTTGCCTGTCTTCTCTCTCTCTCCATCCCGACAGCAACCTGAGCAAGAACAAGATAAGTTCCCTGGAACCTGGCTGTTTCGGAAACATCAGCTCTCTTCTGGTGTTGAAGATAAACCAGAACAGACTCTCTCTGCTGCCCGATAAAGTCTTCACCCTCTCTCAGCTCCAAGTCTTGTGCGTATTTCAAGGCTAATGAATAGGATGTTATTGCAGCGCTCAATTAGATTGTATCTGACAGAATTACTGCTTGCTAAATGCTACTGATATTATCAAGAGAGGAGTTCTTTTCCCTCGCTGTCGTTTCTCCTTTCAATTGTCAGTGGCATGGCTTGGATTTTCTCACTGTAACGTGCTCCTCTCTCCACCTGGCTTCTGTTTCAGGGAGTTAAGGCGCAACAGGATCCGTGTCGTGGAAAGTCTCATTTTCAAAGAGCTGAAGGCTCTTAAATCACTGAAAATGCAGCGCAACGGCATCACAAAGCTGATGGATGGAGCGCTCTTTGGTTTAGAAAACATGGAGGAGCTGTAAGTCAATGCTTTTATTAGATCATTTAAAATGTTAAGTTGAAAATACTGTTGTTTCCTCTGAGGAAATGGAAAGGAATTCCATTCAAACAGATATTTACACCATGGAATATAAGTATTGAATGTGTCACCAGTTTTCTCTGAAAGCACATTTCTAAAGATGCTGTTGAATTTTCAAGAAATCCATATATGCAAAGAAAACAAATCGATATTAATTAGTTTACAAATTAGGTTATGTGTAATAAAATGAAATGACGCAGGGAAAAAATATTGAACACATAAAGAAAGGGAGGCGTAGAAAGACAGTGAAAGCCCAGACAGCAGCTGAAATCTCTCAGTAGTTCTTCAGCAACTCTCTGCCCTTCGTCATAGTAAATGAATATTAGCTGCTTGAGTACGACATCTACATTATCAGAAGATAAAACCAGAGTGGACATTTTAGCAAGACAATGATCCAATACACAGCCAAGAAAACACTCATATAATTTTAAAGTAAGAAAATCAAGCTGTGGAATGGCCCAGACTTGAATCCAATGGAAAATACAAAATAAAGATCCCATTTGATAGAAGAGACCCGCAGAACATGAAGATTTTTACGCTCTGCTCAGGTGCAAATTTTTTACAGAATTTAATACTGCATGTGACTTAATTCTCCATATGAGAGGCATCTTTAAGTTGCCATAACCAAAAAGCCTTTTATATAAAGTAATAAATACATTTAAGTAGTCCAGTTCTTTCTTCTTGTATCATTCTCCTTGTATGTTATTACACATAACAAATGTTTCACATCTGTTAAATCTGTTTATATATTTCTATTGTTTGAATTTTTTTTTTTATTTACCAAAATTGGGTTTAATTCCATGTCTATAGCTACTCTAGTAATATTATTCACAGGAAAAAACATCACGTAATCAATACTTATTTTCCTGCTGTATATAATTATTAAACTGTGTATCACATGACCCTATGTAGAAAAATGTATATAGTTGTTTTCTTTTTTTTTATCCAAATTTTCTTGTCTATACACAGTTGAGGGCAAAATTATTTGCCCTCCTTTTGAATATGTATTCCTTTTTTTGTATTCCTATTTCTCAAGCGTTATTCAATAGAGCAAGGACATTTTTAAGGTGTTTCCGATAATATTCTTTCTTCTGGAGAAAGTCACATGTGTTTTATTTTGGCTGGTATAAAAGCAGTTTTTTTAATGTTTTTATGTCAATATTACTTGCCCTCTCAAGCTACATATATATATATATATATATATATATATATATATATATGTATGTATGTATGTATATATCGATTGGTTATAGAACACACCCTTGTATTTCATGACTTGACTAATTACCCTTAAGCTAAATACTTGAAATCTATCTTGAAAAATATCTAGTAAAATATCTTGTACTGTCATCATAGCAAAGATAAAATAAATCTGTCATTAGAAAATTTTTAATAAAACTATTATGTTAAGGGTTGAAAAATCTCTTTTAAACTAAACTTGGGGGAAAAATATAAAGTAATTTACAGGAGAGCTAATGATTTTGAACTCTAAACCTCTTTTTTCTTAAAACCAGTTGAATTTGAACTCATTTTCTTCTTAAAGTGGATCTCGCTGATTTATAATTAATCAAATGATTGATTTCATGATTGACAAGTGTTCTGTTGGTGTGTTACTTCAGAGAATTGGAGTACAATAATCTGACGGAGCTGAATAAAGGCTGGCTGTACGGACTTCACATGCTCCGTATTTTACGTGTCAATCAAAACAACATCGGACTCATCCGAGCTGATGCCTGGGAGTTTTGCCATCGCTTGGAGGAACTGTGAGTGCCGTTTGCTTCAAGTTTAATTTTTTAATCCATATGCAAAATATCAATGCATACTTATATTTTTTGACTCTTGAACTACTCTTTCTTTTCTCTCTTCTGTGGTGTTTTATTTGATTTCTGACACTTTATATAAATGCATTTATGTTGTTTTTCAGAGACTTGTCCTTCAATCACTTGAGTCGTCTGGAGGATTGGGTGTTTGCAGGTCTCAGTCTCCTGCAGAGTCTCAATTTAGGGGACAATCAAATCTCACACCTGGGAGAAGGAGTGTTCAGCAGCCTGGCTAATGTCCGCACACTGTAAGATCACCCACAAGCCCCTGCTGTCTGTCATTGACCTTATTTTTAACGTATGAGTGGGTGCAACCATTGGAATCTTTTTGACTTCCGGTCTTATTCACTTCCATTGATTTTCAGACATTAAAAACAGCTCATTATTTTGCAAACTGATTTTTAAAATTGTATTATTCTACTTTGTATAGTGAATCCAATGTGTGTGCGTATTGGCATTACTTTAAGTTGCTGCCGTTTTGTTTCATGCAACAGAAACGCGGCATTGAGAAGCCTTTACGATTGAGTAACCGGAATAAATTAAAGGACAGTTAATAGTGAAATCGCCTAATCATCGCATCCCTATTACCGATATCAGTACATTCAACATACAAACATATCCAAATGTTTTCGGCTGCTCGCACCACTCGCTTATTGTCAGGTGACTCACTCTCTGCGCAGCCTTTAACTGCAGCTTGTGCTGTATTGAACAGACGCATGTCACCTCATAATTATAGTGGCTGTTTTTCGACAGAACTAAATTTATTTTTGATGTCTTGGTCACACTATATGGAGGGCCAGAACAAATCGCCTTGGGGGCTGCCAATTGAATAGCCCGGATGTAGATTCTAGCTATATAATTGCTAACACGCAGTCCGTCCCATTAGTTTTGCCCTGTATGAATCCTTTTAGTTTAGCTTCTGCATTTCAGCTCAACCCGTAGAAAAAGCACATTCAAACGTCCCTGTCCCTCATACCCCCCGCTCTTGTCCTTTTGGCACAGTTGTAAAGAGATGTCAGTCTTTTACAGCCAGCAGTGCGTGAAGACAGTCTCACAATACTCCCACATACCAGCCTGTCCGTACAAAACCTCCTATTATACATGAAGCGCATACAAGCTGCTGTAGAGACCTACGACCTCAATTCTATGTATGCAAAAGCGCAATTTCTCAAAGAAAGCACGTTGCAGTTCTAACATTGTAGATTAATCACAGGAAACATGTTCAACTCTGCGGCGGTTAGATGTTTTGCTGTAATTCTGATGGTTGTCTTTTGTTGTTTGTTTTCTCCAGGGACATCCGCAATAATGAGATATCCCTTGCCATCGAGGACTTCATTGGCATGTTTGTGGGTCTGAAGAGGCTGAATTCACTGTACGATTTTTTTTTTCCCCCCTGTTGGTGGATATTAGCGTTTTTTATTTTACTTGACCTGAGCATTTGTGTGTGTTTTTCAGTGTTTTACAGAATAATAAAATCAGGACCATCACTAAGAGAGCTTTCGAGGGTCTGATGGAGCTGGAGAATTTGTGAGTCTCTTTTGGTTTTTAATATTTCTTTATCTTTCATTCATGATCTTACTAATCCAGAAGTTATGTATACAAATTCAGAAAGAAGTCAACTGGTGGACCTTTTGAGCTTTTTATTAAATGTTTAAAGGTCAAAATATTAAGAAAGAAACCTATGAATTGTTTAAAGTTTGATTATATAGCATGGTCAATTAATTAAATAGTAATTTGATGTCAAATATACACAAGGAAGAACGAGGTTATTCCATCAAATGTTGTGTTTTTTTAACCTTTATGTAGTTAAATAATGGTCTTAAAATGAATAAAAACGTGTTGGAAAACATGACACCTGTTTTAGACAAATATATTTTTTTCATAGCTTTTTAAAAGAAAGTTATTTTTCTCTTTAGCATTTTTATATCCTATAGTTTTACAATTATGATATCCTTGAGCTAGTTATAACTAATTTTAACTCATTTTTTGCATGGGAAAAACTTAAATTGAAATCTTTTTTTTTTTTTTAAAAGGCCATATTGCCCAGCCCTAATCACCAGAAAGAAGTCAATCGGACGATCTTATAATTAAATGTTTAACGTCAAAACATTAAGAAAGAAACCTATGAATTGTTTAAAAGTTTGATGATTATAGCTTAGTGAGTTAATAAAATAGAATTTTGATGCCAAATACACAGTGAGGAAATAGTTCAAATGAAAGCTTTTTCTTATATTTAAGGAAGAATTGTGAAGTTAAGGAAGTTAATTGTGCAAATTATTAATTAGCATTTATCACCACAACTTTGTAGAATGCAAAAGAAGATCTTGAAACTTTCAAAATTGGATTCTATTAAATAATATTTTCATCTGAATGTATTCATTTTCTAATTTAAAATAAAAATAGTGTCTTTTGTAGCTGTTTTTTTTCTGCAGGAAAATGGCAGTTGCTCAGTTATTTAGAGATATTTTGTAGCAAATGTTTTTATTTTTAAAGAATGAGGTTATTCCATCAAATGTTGTTTTTTAACCTTTATGAAGTTAAAATATTGGTATTGTTGTGTCTTAAAATTAATATAAACATGTCTAAAACATTACACATTTTTTAGACAAAAATATATTTTTCCATAGCTATTTAAAAGTAAGTTATTTTTTTTCTTAAGCAATTTTTATATCCTATAATTATGATATGCTTAAGCTAATTATAACTAATTATAACTCACTTTTGTAGAGGAAAAAATCCATTTATATTGTAAATCTATCGTATATCAATTAGGGGTGTAACGATATTATAACCGAACCGAAATATCGCGATACACCAGCCACGATACGTATCGCGAAACTCTCGTGGCGTATCGCGGTACTCTCACTCCCCCTGCTGCCCATTGTTGAGGTTGACGTCACTTGTCTCTAACTAATTGAACCAATTTAAACACATCTTTATTATCACATTTAATTAAATTGTTTTAGTAATGATGAGGTTTTGTTCTAAATATTATATTCTAAAGTTAGTATTTTAGTGCATGTCATGTCATGTGACTTGAGTGAGCATCACACTTGTTACTACTGGACGCAGGATGGCTGCTTTACATAGTACTGAGATTGCAGATCCCCCAGACACATTTAAGTCATCTGTGTGGAAACATTTTGGTTTTCCAGTTGAGTACAGGAATAGAACTCGTGTCGTAGACAAAGCGCCTGCCTGTCTGTCTTAACTGTTTCACGAAACTTACTTGTAAGGAAAAACATTTTAAAAGTGTGGTAATTTCACAATGTGAGGGTGTAAGCAACAAACTGCCAACAAAAATGATTTAATGTACAAAAGTGAAACCAGAATAATGCCCAAATATACAAAAAAAGAGAAATATTTACACTAATAAAAATAATATAATAAAGTAGCAAATTCAAACAAAAGTATCAAACAAAAATTGGTTAAACTCGAGCAAGGGGGTGATAGTGAAGACAAACAAAAGAAATAAATATAATAAAACAATTCTAACTCATGAATAACCCCTCTTACCTCGCTAAAACTGATGAAAAGAAAAAAAAGGTCTTCAGCGCCGAGCGCCGCATTCTTCCCTATACTGAATAAAATAAACAAAGATGACCTTCACCTCTTACCTGATGTCTTTAACAATACATTTTCTACGTGTTTGCAAAATGGAAATCGTATGACATTTTCCCTATTCACCTTACACTAAGAGTGAACAGCCTATATTGTCGGGAAGGAGCGGATCCAAAAAATAATATACAAATCAATTGAAATAAAAATGTACAAACCTCACAAAATTACTTAAAGTGGGCAAAAGTAATGCAAAATAATTTTGCCCAAACGAAAGTTATGCAAAAACAACGAAAATCATAATCATGTCAGAATAATACACGAAAAATGAGATCAAAGGAAAAAGCGCTCTCTCTCCCGCTCTTCCTGAATTGCTTTTCACATTCCCGCGCTGCGTCACCAAATGATGATAGATCGGTCTCCTGACCAATCAGCTGTCAAAAAGGCGGACCTACAGAAATGACAGGCAGCAGCTGTCATGAAGGCGGACCTACAGAAATGACCGGCATAGAGGAAGCGGGAGAGAGAGAGAGAGAGAGAGATCGAGAGGCAAACATACAGCCGGCTACAACCCTAACATTAGTTTCTGACATAACTGCAATGTATTTTACTGGTGAATATGTAATGTAAAAACACTTTACAAACACATTATATGTATATTTTTTCATTAATTTAAACGGAAAACCTATCTATCTAACTGAAACCATAGATAATCAAAAATGAGCGTGTGTGTCTGCACAGCGATCAAGTCTCTCATCGGAGAATGTGGATATGGTGTTTTTGAAGAAGATCTTTCACTAGTCTACACTGCAGTTATTTATTTAATTTTAGTTTACTTAGTTAAGATGGCTGCACTAAAGAAAATTGTTTTTTTTCTGACTAGTCTATATTGGAGGTATTTATTTAATTTTAGTTGTTTACTCGGGTATCCTGACTGTACTAAAAATGCGATGACAAAGTTAATAAAGAAAAAGTTAAGATGTTCTTTTTATTAAGTGAATTGTCTCTTAGCATTGCTGTTAACATGACATCAACCCTAACCCCACAGCAAACCGAACCGTGGCTCCAAAACCGTGAACCGAACCGAACCGTGCCTTTGGTGTATCGTTACACCCCTAATATCAATTGGAGGACCTTTTGGTTAAATGTTTCTCAAAACTTGACACTAAGAAACCTATGAATTATTTAATGTTTGATTATATAGCATAATGAATAAATAAAATAGAATTTTGATGCCAAATATACGCTGAGGAAAATTAAAGCATCTTTATATTTAGGAAGAAACTGACTGTTAAATCTAAAAGTTGCAGTGTTATACAGTGTTATATACAGTTAATTGTGAAAATTATTAATAAGCATTTATAACCACAGCTTTTTAGAATACAAAAGAATCAATATCTTGAAACTTTTTTAATTGGATTTTATTAAATAATATTTTCATCCGAATTTATTTATTCCCTAATTTAAAGTAAAAGTAGTGTCTTTTGGAGCTGTTTTTTCTGCAGGAAAAAATATTTTGTTGCTAATTTTTTATCAGATATTTTGTTAATGGATTTGTTGTGATTTTTGAAAAACAAGGTTATTCCATCAAATGTTTTTTTTTTTTAACCTTTATAAAGTTAAAATATTGGTATTGTGTTGATATGTCTGACATCTTTTTTAAACCATTTTATTTTTCATGACTATTTAAAATTAATAAATACACAGTTGTTATAATGTTTGTGCTTCAATACTTACAATGACAGTAATACACCATTATGCAGAAAAATACAGTTAATCCACCGACACAATTTCTTCAATAAATGTTCTATTTGAATTTGTTCTTTAGGGACCTGAGTAAGAATGGCATCATGTCTATTCACCCGGACGCTTTCACTCATTTAAAGCTTAAAACACTGTAAGTGATGATTTATTTTATTTGACTATACATATTGTTTTTCATTTGCTATGTGCTAGTATAATATATTTGCTCTGTGCTTTTCCTCAGTGATCTGAACAGCAGCAGTCTCCTGTGTGACTGTCAGCTTCAGTGGTTGGGCCAGTGGTTGATTAACAGCCGCTTTCAGCAGTCCTGCACTGCTGTCTGTGCTCATCCCGCCTCCCTGGCCGGATCTAGTGTGCTTGCTGTTAAACCAGAGGAGTTTGTCTGCAGTGAGTGAATACTTTTTTTCATAACACTGTAATTAAAAGACTAACCAACCCAACAATTTAATTTATGATCTATTTTACTGAATCCATATTTAGTTTTAATCTCCTGAGAGTTTCGTTCATCTGTGGAACACAAATTAAAGGCCACCTATTATGCCCCTTTTTCTAGATGTAAAATAAGTCTCTGATGTCCCTAGAATGTCAGTGTGAATATTTAGCTCAAAATACCCCCCACATTGTTTTGAGGACTTTTTAAAACAGCCTTTTTTAGCCTTGGGTCCTGTTTTGGTGACTGTTGCTTTAAATTGATTCTTCGCTAAGCCCCGCCCTCCTTAGTTACTGTTGTTACAACTGTCAAGCTTTCATGCCTGGCACGTCTATTACAATATGTATGCGCTGATGTCAGACATTCCCAGGGAAATAATTAGACATTTTTGGCAAACAGGTGAGATATCCGATACAGGCCAGACAAAAAAGGACTGTAGTATGCATTACAAGGGATATTCACAACATAATACACAACTGATTACAAAATAGTTTAACCAAAATTGTAGCTTTAACTTGTTTTCTTCGCTCGAAAGCTTGACAGACCTCCTGCGTGTAGCTTCGGTTGCTAAGCCACGATTGGTGTGTGGCAGTTGACTGGTGTGGCTTAGTGAAGGGTCAGTTCAAATGAGATTGTGCTCCTGGCCCTCTTTTCAAAAGAGGATGGGGCTACAAATACCTATGCATCAGCATAGTGGCAGATTCAAAATTGGACTAATGTTATCTCTGGGGATAAAACGAAAACTTAAAAAAAAAAAAAAAAATTATATATATATATATATATATATATATATATATATATATATATATATATATATATATATATATATATATATATATAATTTGTTTAGCTCCTGCCCACAAAAGCCTTCAGGTAAACATACAAGTAGTTTCATTTTCACTGCTTCTTCCAGCTACTCTGTTATTTTTTTCACTTGCTTCACTTTTGAATATAAATAAAAAAGAAACACAAAATAAAAAATTCCTTTTAAATTAAATGTAATGATGATCATGGACAAGAACGAAGAGCTTTTCAGAACATGGAAATACAGTCAGAGCAGTTAGAAATAGTCTAATAATTCAGCAATAAAACAAAATAATAATAAACGTTGATTTCTCAAGTGGTCAAACAGAAAAGCTTTTTTCCTAATACTGCCTCAGAAAGTGCGTTAAACTTTTTGTAGACAAGTATACAGTTGGCTGCTTCTTACACTATGAGGCTGTCTATGCTAATGAGGGAGAGATTATCACTAATTGACGGGGCTTTCTCACTTATCTCAAATACTATTAAGACACATTTTGACAGAAAACTGTGTTTAAACCCTTATAAAATAGATTTTTACATAATAGGTCGATTATAAGATAAAATGCGAGAGCTCCCTCATCCTCCATGGACCGCAACAGTCCAAAGACATTACTAGTCCAGTGAAAGAACCAAAATCACTGCCAAAACATTCCATGTTACTTCAGTGGTGCAACAGTAAACCTATGAAGCTTCAAAACATACATGTGCCAAAAATCCGCAGAAACAAATGCATCAGGACAGGGTAGGAGTTTACAATGGGACAATACTGTGCTTGCATGTTGTACTACTGACTCTATTGCCATTACAATGTATTATTCGTAGCGAACACACACTATTACTTGATGTGGGAGAAAAGATATAGGTGAACCAAGTCATTTAGCTTGTTTTGCTCTGTGACTTTAGCCATCTATGGAGGTTCAGAGAGCTCTTGAGTTTTAACTAAAGTATCTTAATTTGTGTTTTGAAGATAAATGAACATCTCAGAGGGTTAATTAATAACATAATTACATTTTTGGGTGAACAAACTCATTAAGGCCTTACTATTGGCTTCATTTTTTTGCTATTTAAAATAGCTTTTTGTAGCATTGATATGTTGTTGTTCCGTCTCTTTTGCAGGTGATTTTCCTAAACCCCAGATCACAGCTCACCCAAAGACTGCTGTTGCGTTACGTGGGACAAACGTCACTCTGAACTGCTCCGCCTTCAGCAGCAGTGACTCTCCCATGAGCACGGCCTGGCGCAAAGATGGAGAGGTGCTGTATGAAGCTCAGGTGCAGAACTACGCTCGCTACCAGGACCAGCGCCTCCTCTACACCACCATACTCCATCTGCTCAACGTCAATTTCACAGACGAGGGCCAGTACCAGTGTGTGCTCTCCAACCATTTCGGCTCAAACTACTCCACTCTGGCCAAGCTCACTGTTAATGGTTAGTACATCACTACATTTATTTTATTTTTTTATAATGAGTCTAGATGAGATGTTTTGTTATAAGACAGGTTTACATTTACATTTTTATTCAGATAGGAATGTGTGTATTTATAATTTATGATCAAATCATAGTTGACGTACAAGTTGAGTATGCCACTCAATTTGCAGAAAAACAAGCAGTGCTTTAAGAGATCGCATTAATTGTGTGATAAAACCTATCCACTTGTTCAGTGTGACATCACGCAAAGCGGCTTCCAGGTCCAAGTGCTCTATCAAACTGTATGGGGAGGCTTATCAAATGGGAATAATGAACTGTGATAACAGTTCATAACATATATATATATATATATATATATATATATATATATATATATATATATATATATATATATATATACACACACACACATTCTTAATATTAGATGGCCAGAAAGTGATTAATTTTTTATAAATTGTTAGAATATTGGTGTCTGTGCTGCAACAAGTCCAGAGACTGTTGTGTACACCCTGATTTTATATAAAATTCACTTTAATGTGTGATAGGACTAAAAAGTGGTCATAGATGAATATTTTCTCAATTCAAATGAGTAGCGGCTTGGACCCGGAAACAGTATTTTATACGTCCCACGGATTAGTAATGACACTAGAGATTTATCAGGGTGTCCATGGGGTCTTAAAATGTCTTTTAATTTCAAAAGCTATATTTTAGGCTTTAAAAAGTCTTAAATCTGCTAAAATATTGTGTTGTAGATCTTAATCATTTTTTTAACATGACTTAATTTTCACTTGTTCACTTACAGCTACAAAATCTGGCCAACACCCATACAATCTCACCAAGAATCCATCTCAATAAAACCTTTAACTTTTTATTTAAAATTACATTTTTAACTCCATTTACCATAATGGTTTAATTATTTTCTTCACAATACCATTTGTTTAAAAGTTCTCCGTGTATTTACTATGTAAATGGGGCGTTTAGTGGTGTTTTTAGTGTCATGTTTTCTACTACAGCCCTACAGCAGTGCAAAAACATTAAGCAAAATAATTAATCAAATTCATATAATGATAATATTGTAATATAGTTTTGTCTACTAGCATTGTCAGAAATAGTGATGTTTTGACAAGTATTGTAATAAATAAAATGATACGATTTAGTTTTTTATTAGTATTGATTGTTTCTTCGCAGTATCAAATTTGATTGAATATCGATATTTTTTAAGGTATCGTATGGAAGTTAGAAACTTCAGTATTGTTAAAACACCATTGTATAAACTGCAACACCTCATCTTGCAGCTTGTTTTATTTATTTTTCTTCATACATCCAGAAATCTTTTCGTAATACTGAGACTATTTTTGTGAGATTGCGAAGTTGTATGATGCATTGAGAGAAAACTGCAATTATAGTTACGGTTTCTTATTGTGTTTGGAAGAGAGAATGTGTTGAATATTCAGATGAATGAGAACTCACTAATGTCTATGGAACAGTATTATAGTTAGTATTTGCATTTTCTCAGTTTTGCATTATGATTTTCATGCCCAGAAGTGAACGTTAAAACTTTGCTAACCTCTGTGTAAAGCTGTATTTCTCACAGATGTGTGTTTTTGATCTAGTGTTTGATCTGACTAATAAAAAAGACACAATTATTGTAAATTTAAGAGAACAGCAGAAGCTACACCACTGCTATAGCAGCAACAGCATAGAAGAACATTATTGTTGGAATCAGTTTCAGTTTAAATGACAGTTATGCAATCATCTGCACTTTTTCTAGTGAAGTATTGCTGTAGCACTATGATTTGATAAGAAGATTAGTATTAGTTTTTTTTTCTTGCCTTATACCCTCATTTCTTCATGGTTGTTTTTTAGAGCTCTGTCAGTTTAATATTCCACGTCTGTTGAACAAGCATAACAGCCCTCTCGGATGCTGACCTCAGCAATGTAATTATTCCATTTATATGAGTTCATGATTCTGATGAAAGGGCGTATTTGTAACCCAATAACAGAGTATTAGAAAAACAGAAGCATGATTCACAAAGCAAACACTGTAAATGGAAATGCCGCAGTTTTAAGGGTTTGATAGGCCATTAAATTACATGTTTTGTACTGGATGTTTAATCAGAAGATGAATTCGGCTGTCACAAACAAGTAGAAAATTATGTTAATAGTAGTGTTACAAAACATTAGCAATGTATTTGCTTTTAAGGCAGCTTATGCAGTTCATCGTATTTATTTTATGCCCTCACTACATATTGTATGAGGTAGAAAAAGAAGAATAATACTTTTATGAAAATGATGAAACTTCATATTTATTTCAATATGTTTTTATAATGTTATTTACTTAATTAGAAAACAATTGTTTTTAAGTTTCACATTATTATTTTTATAATTATTATATATTTTTAACTAGATTATTTGTTGAATGAAAATAAATTGCATTTATAATAGTAAGTAGTTGTAGCAAAGATCATTCAGTCAGTAAATATAATTTTCCTTAATTCATATTCATTTTTAATTCCAAAATATAATTAGATTAATTCTCTTTATATATATTTTTTTATAATTGTCAAAATATAAGATTAGTGTTTTATTTGCTTTTATTTAGGCTTTCCCCTTACAAAAAACTTGTTGTGGTCTAGTTGTATCAGAGGGTATCACATATATCTGTGGTCCTCGACCACCTGTACCGGTCTGCGGATCAATTGGTACAAGGCTGCACAAGATATCATTAATTATTTCAGTTTTATTTATTACCTGACTCTAAACAATCTTTTATTTAAAAAAAAAAAGTTTTATCTTGAAAAATGACCATATTCTCTCGTTTACATCACGGTCACTTGAGTGGCCAAATTCAACCAAGCAGCAAAATGAGTAAGAAACAGACGTCTTTGGAAAGTTTTTTTTTTTTTTTTGCACTCGCACCTTCCAGACGCTCCCAGTTGACGATCATTTTCAGCTTATATTGAATACTCAAAAGACTAATTCTCTCAGACAAACACAAAACACCCAAACCCTTGCTTTGTAATTTTCTCCATAAAACTTGTATCAGAGTGACAGCAATGTTTTGTCGGTTTGTCATCCTCTTAGAAAATGGTTGATGGTTGCCTAGCAACCTACAAACCAACCCCCCTACTGGTCTGCAGTAAAATTGTCAAGCGTTGACCGGTTTGCAGTGATAAAAATGTTGGGAATAAACATCATAGCATTTTGGTTTATCTTTTTTCAAGGATAATTTCTACTGTGGTGCAGTTAAAATGAAAGAAATCATGGTAATTTAATAGTGTTATGTTTGTTTGTTTTTTGGTTACTGAAGTTTTGACAAGAATAGTCTGGCTATATCTGGACTTTCTGGCATTGCTTGTGGAAATAACTCGCTAATTACTTTTTCCCCCAGAGCTCCCGACCTTCCTGAAGACGCCCATGGATCTGACCATCCGCACTGGGACTGTTGCGAGGTTAGAGTGTGCTGCAGAGGGACACCCGACACCCCAGATCGCTTGGCAAAAAGACGGTGGTATCAATTTCCCTGCTGCTCGTGAAAGAAGGATGCATGTCATGCCAGATGATGACACTTTCTTCATCGCTAACGTGAAGGCAGAAGATATGGGCGTCTACAGCTGTACAGCCAAAAACGAGGCAGGCAGCCTGTCAGCCAATGCCACCCTCACTGTGCTAGGTATAGTATTCGATTCATTTTGACAGTTTGTTTACATTTAATAAATAATATCTTTTTTTTTTTTTTTGGTTACTGAAAATGGCACACTGCCACACATCTGCTCTCAAAAGTCCATTCATAAAATAAGCATGATGTTTTAACTTTAACATTTTCACCAGGTAAGCATTAAAAGCTTAGAATATAACACTTTATCAACATGATCCATCACAACTGACTTTATTAATCAACTTTATACCCAATCATCAAATTCAAATTGAACATATTTGTGGAAGTAAATTCTTTTCTGTGATTATCTCAGGAATTCAGCTTAATTTGCTCATGGGTAAATGATTAGCGAGTAACAAATTGCAGTAAACTACTTGATTTACAAATTTGTGAGTTTATTGCAATGCATCAAAATAAATATATGACAAAATACCAGTTTGCCACATTAAGCAAGAAAGTATGCTGTCTTTACAGCTAAAAATCAATGCAAGTGAATAAGGCAGGAAGTCTCAAAGCAATTAGGTTACAATTGCCACACCCACTTTTACCTAAGAAATAAGGTGAGGAAATGTAAAATAAGAATAGAAAACCAAACAAACTATGATACACATAAATATAATAACATTTCAAATGACTAAAAAGGATTTAGATTCCAAATGTAAACCGTTTTGAGAGTGTATTTCATGCATAAATGTAAAACGCTTTATCTGTAGTAAGATCCCATTAATATCACCACCCTTTCTGGATATTCTTACACATACAATATCTACATATTGACGTAGACAAATTATGTTTTGAAGAATTTAAGTGAATGGCAAGAGCTCAAAAAACTGCTTATTTGAATGAACTGTTTATCAATAGCGTGTGGCAGATTTATTCAGTTTTATTTGCGTTTTTCAGTTTTTGAAGCACCTAGCACACGTTTTCAAACGTGCACATATTTTAAGGCATAAAAACATTATAGAGCATTCTTTTATGCCCCTTTTTCCAAGATGTAGAACAAGTCTAGAGTATGTATATGAAGTTTCAGATCAAAATACCACACATATAATATTTTATAGCTCTCTCTGTTTGGCTTTGAGTCAGATTGTGCCATTTTGGTGACTGTCACTTTAAATTCAAATGAGATTGTGCTCTTTTCAAAAGAGGGTGGAGCTACAGACGCCTATGTATGACCATAGTGGCAGATTCAAAACAGGACTAAAGTTATCTCGGTTAAAACTAATGGCAGACAGCTGCTTCTCACTTAGGGCTGTTTATACTAATGAGGGTATGCCAATCACTAGTGGGTGGCATGTACAAAGAATGAGTGTCAATCAAAGTTTTTTTGCAGACTATATTTATCAAGTGTGATTCTAAAAAAATATAATGAATATAAGTCGAGGCTGGCTATATTCACACACTGTTGACATAACTTTGTTTGTTTGTTTTCTATTTGACAGAAACTCCATCCTTCCAGCGTCCCCTAGAGGATCGTAATGTTGCCCGAGGAGAGACCGCTGTCCTCCAGTGTATAGCTCGTGGTAGCCCCGCCCCCCGCCTTAACTGGACCAAAGACGATGCTCCATTGGTTCTAACGGAGCGTCACTTCTTTGCTGCAGCCAATCAGCTCCTCATAATTGTTGATGCAGGACCTGCTGACGCAGGGAAATATACATGCATCATGTCTAACACACTTGGCACTGAACGTGGCCATATCTACCTCAGCGTCTCACCCTCAGCCAACTGTGACCCGGGGAGCAGCGTTTACGGGCATGACGGATGGACGACGGTTGGCATTGTGGTCATGGTGGTCGTTTGCTGTGTTGTCGGCACCTCACTTGTGTGGGTCATAGTCATTTACCATATGAGGAGGAAGAGTGAGGACTACAGCATTACAAACACAGGTCAGTAGACAGCATCAGTGAAAACTATTTAAAATGACACATATTTTTAAAGCGGTAATGTTATGCTTTGTTGATTAGATTAAATTTTAAATTATGGGTAATTGCTAGTAGAGCTGTCATGATCATAAAATTGTGCTTAGCTAATAATTTCTAGACATAATAAATTTAATCACTTGTTCATTTTAAACAACAATCTTTATTGTATCGAGCATAATATAAATAGTATGATAATTTAAAAAATATTTTAAATTGATATCAAGTTTTGTTTAACTTTCAAAGAATAGAATTAAAACAGTGCACCTGAATTGTAGGTTTCATTTTTAAAAATGATTTGTCCATTAGTTTGCATAAATAAATAAAGGGTAATAAATAAATACAAGGTTTAAAGTTAAAACCACTTAGAAATTTTCATTTTTTTTTTCTTTTTAGTTTTTTTTTCTGCATACTACTGAAGACTCTTCTTCCAAATTTAAAATAAAAACATGAGGTGGAAATTATGTGAAAAGTTATAAGAAGAATGTTATCAGACCTTTACAGAATAAAATAAATATGAATCTTTAGCAAAGCTTCAAATAAATATTGTTTTAAAATTTATAATAAAAAATAACATGATAATTAATAATAGCATAATAAAAAATAACATTAACAATTTTTAAATTCATGAAATTTTACCAAAAAAAAAAAAAAAAAGCATTTGTCAAATGTATTATTAAATATTTGAAATAATGTGAGGTATATTTTTTAAAGATTAGTATTTATGTTTATACACTATGCCAGTGGTCCTCAGTCACCAGGCCATGGACCGGTAGTGGTCAGAAGAGACCGCACAAGAAATAATAAATTATTTCTGATTTATTTATTATCAGAGTCTGAATGATCTTTTATTTTGAAATATGACCATAGTCTCTCGCTTGCCTCTTGGTCAGTTAAGTGCCCAAATTTAACTCACAAGCAGCAAAATGAGCAAGAAACAGATGTCTTTGGAAAGCTTCTTTTCTAATAATAATAATAATAATAATAATAATTCCTTACATTTATATAGCGCTTTTCTGGGCACTCAAAGCGCTTTACACAGTAGGGGGAATCTCCTCATCTACCACCAGTGTGCAGCATCCACCTGGATGACGCGACGGCAGCCATTTTGCGCCAGACTTTTCTAAGGGGAAAAGGCCCAGTGAAGCTTCCGCAAACTGCCAAGGAATAGATCAGCAACCCATTTGTCAAGGTGAAACCAGCAACTGCTGAAGATTGCAAATAACCGCAAACCACGTGACACGCTCGCGTCTTCCAGACTCACCTAGATGAATGAATACCACGTGCGTACCGCGAGTCACGTGACAAGAACTGTTCGATCAGCTTCAGCTTATATGGAATATACACATCTCGGTAGACTAAATATCTCAGGCAAACACAGAACAGCCAAACACTGCAGTAGATAAAGCTTGTATCAGAGTGACACCAATGTTTTGTCAGCTTGTCATCCTCTGAGAAAAAGGTTGATGGTTGATAGGTCTAGCAACCTACAAATTAACCCAAACAATTGTAAAATTGTCAGTCGTTTGAATGAACTGTCTGGTGATGAAAAGTTTGAGGACCACTGCCCTATGCAACAAAACCAGCCCTACTTTTCTACGTGACATATTAGACAGTAACATTTAACATACAAAAGAAAATGTAAACATTTGAATCTTAAATTCTAAACTTCTAAAAAAATATATATATTTCTCTGTATTTCAGATGAGATGAACCTACCAGCAGACATTCCCAGTTACCTGTCGTCTCAGGGAACACTGTCAGAGCCTCAGGAGGGCTACAGTAACTCAGAGAACGGAAGCCACCAGCAGCTCATGCCCTCTCATGCTAACGGTTACATCCATAAAGGCACCGATGGTAAGATCACCTCTGCTGAATGTTCATTTGTTCATAGTTTTCTACTTGCATCCTTATAAAGGATAAACAGTATAATACTAGTGATGGGTGATACAGATTCTATCATGATGTTTTCTAGTATTTATTGTGATACTGATATTAATGATGATAATCCACTCAGCGACAAACATAAAAAAGAAAAAATTCTGTATCTTGAGAGAAGAGTACTTTTTATTTTATTTAAACAAAAAAAAAAAAGGTTGTTCAATCCTTCTAGATGCCCACTGTCATGCAGATCTCAATCATAATCGAACACACTAAAGCAGCTGGTCACACTTTTCAGAATCATATAAAATACACAGGCAGATTTGCAGAAGAAGGTTAGAAATAAAGTTTGAAGGACAGAGGGCAGAGTTAGAGACCTCTGAAACAGTATTGCGAGCATACATTATAATGTTATAAATTTCATTTATACTGGACACTAGAGGGCGCCCTAAAGCAAAATCTTCACTTATACATTACTGAAGACATGAGCTATCACTACTGGACAGAAAAGAGGCTCAAAATCATGTAAATCCATATGTAGATCAAACAGGGGGAAAAATGTAAACTAATTCTTAGCAATATATTAATTAATTGTGTTTTTCAAACAATCCTGGGTGTTGTAGAAGCATAATTTTATATATAATGCAATGCTAATTGACCTAGTCTAATCACTGTATCGATTAATACAAAATATCATGATTTCCGGGATATTAAATCATGTCTGGACACAAAACGAGATTTTAAAACAGTCGACTGATGTTACACCATTGCACATGTACTACTAATGCTATATTATTATATTATTATTATATAGTATAATATAGTAGAAATAATAATAATACTTTATGCAATTTGTGTGATCTTATTATAAGTCGAATTTTATTTTTATCATGGGGAAATAAAAACTGGTACATTGCAAGTGATAAGATATTGCTCGTCTCTATATAATACTATCTTGTTGCGTCCAAACAGGAGTATGTTATGGTGAAGTAAGCAGCGATGTTGATCCAGATGCCAATGGAATGCTGGGTAGTCGCGTAGGCTCTTTCTTTGCTGGACATAACAGCTTCCATCGGAGTGAACCAAGAGAAGGACAGTCAAATATCCCTAACGGTAGTGTAACATTTTACATTTATTAATGCTAAAAAAATAATAATTTTAGGATTAACTTTGTCAACTCACCAATTGAATTAAATGATGTGTTTTTGGAAAACAAGCTGATCAACGTTTGTGTTTGTAGGAGGTGCGGGCGCTCTTGTGATCTGCTCTGACTGCTACGATAATGCTAATATCTACTCGCGCACACGTGAGTACTGCCCGTATGCCTACCTGACTGAGGATGACCCACTCGTGGCTCAGATTTCTCGGGACGGACCTCAAGAGCGGGATCAACACTCTGAGAATTCGGACGCGGTGTTGGAGAGCTTCATAAATCAGCAGAACGCATCAGTGTTCCTCAGCAACCATGAACCACGACTATCAGCGTCACAACACTACAGCACTGGTGAGATCAACACTACATATATCTATATCTAAAATATTAATGATTGTTGAAATCTCACTTTCTTTTAATATTCCTTTGACCATTTGCTTTCTAAATGAGTGATTTGTAGGACCACACAGAATCTGCGCGTGCAGAATTCCGCAGATTTTTAACCCATCATTAATTCTGTTTATTTACTCGAGTAAATGTGTGTAAATCTATATTTATTCAGTTTTTAAATTAATTACAGTAATATTACTGACTAATACGGAAATGTTCATCTGATTTAAGTACTATGCAGTTTGTACAGTAATATTTTCTGTCTTTTAGTAGATGGATTATATGAGAGTTTTGCTTTGTTTTCCAAATAAAGTGAATCTAATTGGATTTGCATTTTCAACATTAAATAAAAGTTATAAAGATATTTTTTTTTTATTTCATATATTAAGGTTTTAGTTATGATACTCCCAAAATAATTAATCAGAAATGCGCAGATGTTTAGCTAAATTCTCCATAGAAATAGCAAAAAATGTCTGTAGATTCTGTCTGGCCCTAGTGATTTGTCTACCTTAACAACATTTTTAGGTATTAAAGGGATAGTTCACACAAAAATGTCCTTTTTTTTTTTTTACATTTCAACTTTTCTAAACTTTTATGAATTTCTTTCTGCTATTGTGAACACAAAACAAGATAATCTGATGAAAGTGAAAATCAATGGTAGTTTTATAATTATTTTTTCCTTCTTCAGTTTTCATTATATGGGTGAACTTTAAAAAAAAAATTCTCTACCATCTTTAAAGAAAAAAAATTCTTACGTAATTTACTTTGACATAGATCTAAACAGCATTTCAATTTGTTTATTTGTGGATGAAAAATCTACCGAGATCCGGAAGGGACGTTGTGGTGGGGAAAAATAATTCTGGGTGGGAGCAATTTTATTTATTTATTTTTTTTGAAAGTTTTTTCGTTCCATCACAAAGTTGTTTTGCGTTCCCTCACAAAACTCTTGTTCCACAAACAACTTGTTCATATTATAGTTCAAAATAAAGGTCATTTGCATGTACAGTCAAACGTGAACCCATAGTATGAATGCTATTCCCTTCATAATCAGTTTATCATGGATCCGTCTTGCAGTGGTTGAGAGCTCCTCACTTCACTATGGAGCGTTTCAGAGTGAATGCATTAGGAGATTAATGCATTAGGAAAATGATTACCTATTAAAAAAAAATTATTTGTGAAATATTTTATTAAAACTAAACAATTTTGCGAGGGAATATACTGTGTATATATTGTATATTAGCCTCCCACCCAGTTTTTTTCCCCCACCACCACTCCCCTTACGAGTCTCCATAGAAAACGCGATACATGTCTTCAAGTTTATATGTGTAAATTAAAATAATACATTTTTTAAAAATAATAAATAATAATAATAAATAAACTTTTTAAAATAATAATAATAATACAAATCAACTATACTTGTATTTTAAAATTGTGCATTATTGTTTTAATGTTTTTATATTTATAAAGTTTAGATCCAGTAAGGTTTAAATTTTTTTTAAAGCTGTCTCTTATTGTTATAATTGTTAGTTTAATCAAAATATAGTAAAAATAAAAAATCAAAGACTGTTCAAATGGTATTTTAAATATTTATTTAACATTATTAGAAATCAGTTACTTTTAATCAAGCTAATATGTCAGTGTTAAATAAAACTATTAAAGAATAAACAATACAGCGTACACGCCAGTGAGAAATTGAACATTTCTACTTTCAATCAGTTCTCAAGTAAATCAGAGGTTAGAAAAAATCCATTAGCAAACAGTGATTTGTTTATCCAGTCTTCACAGATTGTTCAAAAGGTTATGGACAAACCTCGGGAATTTATAGGCAGAAGGTGTATGAACACTGCAAATGTTATTCATGCATTATGTTGTTAGTTCTGTATTGTTTGAGTATCGATATCGCAATGTGTGTATCTGTAATAGTCACATCGCTGCATTTGATCATTTATTAAATATTAAAATATGAAGTTATTATTTTTATGTTATTGTATACAATTGTTATTTTGTTTAATTTTTGTATTTAAGTACTGTTAGACTTCACAGAACTCCATAAAGCACTATATGTTTTACTTTTATCTTTGCTCCGTCATATTTATATATTATTGTAATTTATTATATTTTATACAGCTCATCCCAGTAGAGCTAAATTATTCAAATGTTTCTAAATAGAGCTATCAAATCACAGCTATGTATATCGCAGCAAAACAAAATATTGCAATGTGAAATTTTTTTCAATATCGTGCAGCTCTAGTGTCTACCAGCATAAATACAGTTTGAAACGCATCTACTGCTTGTATCCATTTTCCCAATCTCTGTTATATTTTATCAGATATCCCAGGCAGGTCATTTTGGGATGCTGAGGATACCCACTCTTCCATCCTTGCCCAGGGCTCAGTGACTGTACACAACTCCCCGGTGTGCCCATCCACTGGGGATGACCGTGAGGAGAGGAGGGGGGCACTGGAGGAACCCTCATACAGGACTAACCCGCAGGAAAGCACCTCTGCACCCACATAAACCCAACCCATCCCATCCCTGTGCTCTCCAATCATCATCACCGCCCTGTCCTTCAGTGTCCCGCCAGTGCCCTCACTCCACTACCTCCTTCGAGAAGCCTCATTGTCTGCCAAATGAAACGCCTCTCTCTTCAATGTTTACACCTGTTAATCCTTCGTGTTTCTTTGGAGCTCATTGGGATATGTGTGTAAAAACTCAAAACAGGAGACGCATTTCCCGCTTTCACCATTCCTTCCTGGTGTGGTTTCGAGCCCTGAATGTAATGTTTTCCAAGAGCTCCACTATTCCTACCTTTATCCCATGACGTATGAATTATTCCGTGATTGGTTTGAACGTTGAGCCTCTTTGCATATGCCAAAAAAGCTTGACCCAGATGTCTTTTTTTCTCTGGATCTTTCTGAATGCTGTTGCTGGACATCGGACTGCCAAAATTGAGCAGCGACTGACTTCGGAGGGTCAATTACCCGTATTGCATTTCTCATTGCTGTTGGCAAGCGGTACTGACTGCTGACCGATAATGTGTTAACAGAGTTGACAGCTCTGTTGTTTCCACTTGTTATTGTACGCCAGAGTTACTGTTATTTGTCATTAATAATGCATTTTGTTTTGCTCTTCACAAAAACGCAAACATATTCCTCAGTTGCTCTCTGTTTTCGTGAGGCACTATAATCGAATTGAATATATTGCACCTTTGACAATCCGCCCAGGACAGCCTTACGAAAATTGTGATTTGCTCGCTCGCTTTTTTATTTTTCCTATCCTTTATTTGCATATTATGCTTTCGTCTCGTTTTTTTTATTTTGTGATATCTTTTTAAGGGTTAAGATTGTACTGTTCGGCACCCTAGTGGTGTAGAAATCACACACTTCACCTTTACAGTATGTCCGTGTGCTGTTTATATATGTATTATTACATATATGTTGAGTTAAAGTCTAATCCGTCCGGTACATGCTGTTATGTGAGTAGAGCTTCTGAAAAAATTGAATATTCTGTCTGTAATTACTCAACCTCCACTTGTTCCCAAACCTATTTAAGTTTTTTTTGTTCTATTAAACAAAAAAAAAAGAAGATAGTTTGAAGAATGCTTGAAACGGCCATTATTTTCATTGTACTTTTTTATTCTATGGATGTCAAAGTCTGCCAGTTTCTGACATTCTACAAAATATCTTCTTTTGTATTCAACAGAATAAAGAAACTCTAGGGATAGAAATGTATTAACTCCATTTTCAAGGTTAAAAACAATTGACAATTAAGCATAGGCCGACTTAATTAGTTTTAATGTTTTCTCAGTGGATGGACAGCTGGATTTTAGTCCTCTTGCGTGTAAACATGGTCTTAAGAGAGGTGAGCTGTGTCCAAAAGCTACAAACTTCTTTCTTCCCACTCATTTAGCACACACCTTTTAAGGAAAGCCATTTCACGCTGACTTTCACAGCACTGTAAAATAACCTCTAATGATCTCGAACTAATTTAAATGAGCCTCAGAGATAAGCAAGGGAATATTTAATCACCGCAATTATAATTTCTCTGAATTTAGAGGAAAGAAGGACTACGATTGGATTTACTGCTTTTTAGACACTCAGTTAGAATAAATTTATTCTTCCAATTATATTTGTTCTGTAAGCCCAATGGCATGCGTGTGATTGGTGGATATTTTATTAACAAATTAACAAAAGTATCCTGAGGAAAGATTGACACTTGCCTTAAAGGAACACTTTTTTTTTTTTAAATAGATGTTATTGGTCTAATCCGATTCATTGATCTATGCTAAGCTAAGCTAAACGTGTTTCTTCCAGATCCAGAGATCAGCCAAGCTCTAGGAGAGTTGTAAAATGAGCCCGTTTCCAAAAAAAGTGGAGTGTTTCTTTTAACACAATTTTCTCTTCGGGCACAGCTACTGCCTTTATTATTTTTTTTGTAGTCCATTTCATTAATTTGAAATTGTATAGTCTGAAATTGCGTGTCAGGTGAAATATTACAAGCTTTTGAACGTTGAATTCAAAAGCCAAGTCAGGTTTACCAGTGTTCAACAAAATTTTACCAACACAATAATTTTTCCAAAACGAAGAGTAGTTGGAGATTTCATTCAAGTGTGAAGTTTTGCCAATGATTTTAACACGATCGCCTCTTTAGAGAAAACCTACTCTCAGGTTCTTGACCATTTGGATTGACTGCTTGATGACCCAAACTGTTTATGGATTAAAATCTTTGATTAACTTTTGCCTTAAAGGAACACTCTTCAACCCTTTTCTTTTGCTAATAGTTTCATCTGATTCAATGATCTTTGCTAAGCTAAGCTAAAAGTGTCCCTTCTAGACCCAGAGGTTGGCTGAATGGATTAAAAAAATGATAAACTTCGAGATTTCTTCACTTGGAGAGTTGTAGAATGAGCCGATCTCCAAAAAAGGTAGTGTTTCTAAATACATTTTTACCTCCAGAAAAAAAATTCTCTTTTCGGACAAAGCTGCAACCTTGCTTAATAAAGTCCATATCATGAACTGAAAATCTCATGTCAGGTGAAATATTTCGTTTCAGCTTTTGAACATTGAATACAAGTCTAGTCAAGTTTTCCAATGCGCAGCAAAATTTACAGACAAAATAATTTTTGTTGTTTATTTCATTCGAGTGTGAAGTTTCACCAATGATTTTGTTAACACGATCGTCCCTTTAGAGAAAATCCACTCTCATGTTCTTGACCATCTGGACTGACTGCTTGATGACCCAAACCATGTTTATGGATTCCAATCTTTGATTGACATTTGCCTTAAATGAACACTCCACCTTTTTCGGATAAAGATGCTAATGGTCTAATCTGACTCAATGATCTATTCTAAGCTACGCTAATAGTGTCCCTGCCAGACCCAAAGGTTGGCTGAATAAATTCAAAAATGGTAGAACTCAATGGTTTAACTCTTGGAGAGTTGTTGAACGAGCCTATTTCCAAACAAAAAGTAGGATTTCTTAACATTTTTTACCTCAAGAAAAAAAAAACTCTTTCTCTTTTTGGATACAGCTACAACCTTGCTTATGAAGTCCATATCATGAACTGAAAATGTATAGTCTCAAATTTAATGTCAGGGGAAATATTTCCCTTCAGAAGCTTTTGAACACTGAATATAAGTCTAGTCAAGTTTTCCAGTAAAGTGAGTTATTATTTTAACATGATCACCCCTTTAGTAAAAACTACTCTCACATTCTTGCCCATCTCGATTGACTCCTTAATGACCCGAACTCTAAATTTAGAAACTTCCATAACTTTGCTCACTCACATTTGCACTTTTTATTTTCTTGAACCTACAAAAAAGCTGGATCTTTCTCTGCAGCAGATATCTGTGGTCACTATCTTCCTTGCTGTCTTTTAATGGAAATGATTCATTTCAGACGCTCTCCAACTGTGATAACGACCTCTTGATTTGCATATTCATTTGTTGCATTTTGCACAATCTCTTGCCTTGCTGTTAGCTATACAATTACTCTAATCAAGAGACCTTGATGCCAGATGATGCGGCTGACTCCTCGCTGCGTCAATTTCCCTTGTTGAAAGGAAAGGAGTGTGTATGTGTGTCATCAGCGGCTTCATTTAAAACATCCACATTTTTTTGAATTGCTGTTAGTGTTTGCTTGGCCTCTCTTGGTACAGCTTGTGGGAGGCGAACACAAAGCAACATCATTTAAAAGTGATGCAAGTGAATAGCAGATTTATTTTACTCTGAATTACGTAGGACTCTGTTGGGATCTTTTTATTTAGTTGTGTGCGAATTTAAACCAAAGAAGAAAAACGTTCCTGCCTTCTGCCAACCAAAGCTTAGCTTCAGTGCTTTGACAATATTTAAATGCTGCTTTTATAAATATTGTTTTGTGTATTTTTTTTTGTATGCTGTACCTGTACATTCTGTAAAGCATGTATAAAGAACATTGTTTCAGAAAGTTCTGACATTTAGCTGACATTTAAACATTAAAATGAATTCAGATGCATTACTGGTTTAGATGTTCCTTTGTTGCTCAAATTGTTAGTGGAAATGGCTTAAAAGAAGAAGCAGTGTTGTTGTTTTTCTCATTTAAAGGAATTGTTCGCCTAAAAAGGAAACATTCTGTCATGTTTACTCACCCTTTACTTGTTCCAAACCTGATTGATTTTCTTTCTCTGTGGAACAAAAAAAGAAGGTATTTTGAAGGAAGCTGAAAATACTTAACCATTGACTATTTGTATGTATTCAATTAGGGGGGAATAAATAGGGTAAATACAATTTTTGAGGGTTAACTACCCCTTTAAAGGGCTCCTGTTTTGCCCCTTTTATAAGATACTTTTTTTTGGTGTGTCCAGATTATGTGTGAAGTTTCATCTCAAAATACCAATTAAATTATTATACAATGCAGAAGATATCCATTTTAGCTTTTGAGCAAAGTAGCGCTGTTTTTGTAGCCTGTGCCTTTAAATGCAAATGAGCTGGTTCACCCTGTGTACCGTTCTCCTGTGTGTGTCTGCTACTCATGCATTACGTCAGATAAACAGCAGTCAGTGACAGAGACAGACAGCAGATCTTTTGATCCCAGTTTCTTTACAAATCCTGTTTTGTGGACGTTTATACACATTACTATGGAGACATGTTAATACGCTCCTGTCAATCAATTCGGTGGGTGGGGAAATATGTCACATTGCGGTGGGCCTCAAAAATTCTGGGATTTGGATCCAATTTTAACATCAGGAAATTTAAAAAGATACTTGTGTTTATGGGTGTTTTCACGACTGCCTTATTTAATTTGGCTGAATCGCACTAGAGTTCGTTTCCCCTCTTGGTATGGTTCGTTTGGGCAGGTGTAAATGTAGCAATCACACTCGAGTGTGCACCAAAAGCGGACCAGAAAAATGTACCGAGACCTCTGTGAAGAGGTGGTCTCTGTACACTTTCAAATGAACCTGGAGCAGTTCGTTTGTTATGAGAACATGACTCGAACTAAAACAGACCCAACTGCAAGAAGTAATGCCTTTTTTGGACTAATCCAACTGCTGCAGTTTGATGTGCTGTCGCATTTTATGGGGTGTGGAGAAATAATAGTTAATGACAGCGCTTTAGCAACAATTTTAAACGGAGAGAGAGAGACGGGAAAAGCATTACCTGATGGATTGTTGGTAATATTTCCGGAAGATGGCCATGTATACAGATAAATTAAGATCAGCTAAAATTAATTCACACCTCCTCCTCAAGTGATTTGCGATGTGCCTTCGCCATTTGCAATGCATTAAAACATTGTTTTCCATCCACAGTTGCACTTTATTCTCGAAATGTATAGTTTGTCTAAAGTGATGTATGTAAACTAAATAGTATACTATGAGCAGGGATACAATCAGCCAGCGCAGTCATCCGACTATAGTTAAAAGCGACATGTTGTGTCTGCCGTATACATATATATATATAGTAAGAATATATGTATATTCTTATGTTTCTATAAGCATATTTTTATTGTTTTTTTTTTATTCTTTTCATTTCATAAGAATATTGAGAATATTGTTAGTGCTATTTAAAGCCGAACACCGGACTAAAGCAATTTTGTTTTGATTATACATTATTTTTTTAGAAGATCCTTCAAGAACATGAAGCAAAAACTCAAGCAGAAAAAACCATGTAAAGTCTATTGAACAATTTGATGCTGCTAATGTTTTTATTTCTAAAAGGTCGTAAACCAGTGAGATCGGCACATACACTGATGAACCACAGCATTATGAACCGGCAGAGAGGAAGTGAATAGACCACTGATCATCTACATGCTCACTAAGGTTTGGGTACATATAAAATTCTGGGTTGTTGTAACCAAACTTTGGGTCAGATATTTGATTCAATTCATCTTTATTTCTATAGCGCTTTTACAATGTGGATTGTGTCAAAGCAGCTTAACATAGAAGAGTGTAGTAAATTGAAACTGTCAGTCCAGTTTTCAGAGGTCAGTTTAGTTCAGTTCAGTGTGGTTTAATTTTCACTGCTGAAAGTTCAAACACTGAGGAGCAAATGCATTAATGCACAAGTCCCAAACTACACAAGCCAGGGGTGGGAAAGAGACTTAACCAATTGACTAAAGTAAAGGAAAAAACCTCGAGAGAAATCAGGCTCTAATATTAACAAACCATTGGGTTCATTTTATTAATTAATTTTGAAATGACAATTTTTAACCCAACAGATGGGTTCGTCCATAATCGACCCAATTTAAAGTTACAAGAACCCAGCCTTTCTTAAGAGTGTAGATTAGATGCCAACCCGACAATGAATGGTGAGAATTTATGTCCTGTAGTCACAGGGGAACAAACCACAATCTGACAACGGGGTGTTACTGACAAGCTTATTGATGCACAATAGAGGAGATCCCATCTGGACCGAGCCAACAAAAGGTTTGCTGATGCTTATGGGAGGAACGTGTCGCTACATGCTGCGATGCAAACTGTGATGTGAAGCTGCAGACCTGTGATGGTAAGACATTAGTGGAAAATGTAGAGTAATAGTTGATGTTTGCAATGATGAGCCGAAATATTATGATCCTCATTTTAAATATCCTGTTGGTTCTCTTTGTCCTGCTCAAACTGCCAAAACTGTCCTTTAAGTCCTGTAAGTTGCGTGCTGGAAGGACTGTGGATCAAACAGATTACGTAGATACTCAAGATCTGAGAAAATGTAGAGGTCACATTGGACATTGTACACTCTTCAAAATCAAACCTTTAAAGTTGAGTTTTTCAATCGATGCCATAGAAGAATCACTTTCCATTCCTCACTGCTGCTTGTTCAAAGTACGATTGTAAAATGAGCTTACACAACACAATTCTCCAGATCTTTTTAGGCCAAATTAATTGCTTTGTTCAATCCACTTAAATGTGTTAAGTCAACTTTGATTTGTGTTGGAACAACCTGAATGTATTGTGTGGACTCGTGCATTTTTTTACAGTGCAGAGAACTTTTCAATGGAATTTTTTTTTCAAATAACCATTACATTTCTTTTTGTAAAGACATTTTTAATGATCTAAAGTATTTTTTGTCGATCTTTAAAGTTCATCAATGCCAATAAAGAATTAGGCTTACATGTAAAAAGCGAGTTGTTAACTTTACATTAAAAGTAAACCGGTTGCCTTAAAATTAAGTCAACTTAAAGGTGCTGTATGTAAGTTTTTGACTTCTAAAGCAAAAAAAAAAAACATAATATGTTTGCAGATATTTAAGAAACATGCTAAGTGAACATTATTGTTTATCTGAAAAACAATGCTGAAGTCAGTTATTCAGCTTTGAAAATGTGCTCGCGCCATAACGACTGCCTTTGTTTTGGTTTTTTTTAACCCGGCCAATGCAAGTTAAGCCAATTATATTTCAGCACCCCCGGTTGCCTTGTTGGAAAATCGTATATTTCATTCAATTATTCAGGAAGGCTCTCAAAGCATGCCTCCATAACCGAAATGCAAACTTTGATGGACAGACTCCGAAATGAGACGCAGATTCAGAGTTCCACATGAAGTGGTTATTAATTAGCGAGTAATATAAATATTACGTTCATAAGCATTAGGTGAGCAGGTTACATTGTAACAGCGTGTCCTAACAACATGCTACAAGATGAGATTTGTAGTGATAAGCAACTTGGCTCTTTGCACCAGACAAAACACGACAGAAATTTATAAACAGCCATTCAGAAGCTCAGAATATGCTCTCATGAAATGGTGAGGTTAATCTAATAACCTATAATCTAATTAATGCATATTGAACCTCTTTAACATTTTTAAATATACATGCTGAATCACTGCTATGTGTTGGTTTGCACTGAGTCACAGTTCTAAAGTTCGATTTCAAATGGTTTATTTCATTTTCAAGATCTGAGGTGAAATGTTTGCTGCTGCTGATTAGCAATAAATGGCATGTAAAATGTCAATCAAACTCGCATTGTTAGCATTTAAAGGACCCCCGTTTCAGCAGGGTGTTTTCATAATAAAGCACATGATGTTTCCAAAATATAAATTTCAGGTGTTGGTTAGAACAAAGACTCCTTTTAATATGGAGAATATTCCTTTTATCGAGTGCCGTTGCTTTTATTTAGAACATTTAAATCAGCCATTGTTGGTGTCGTTAATCTGGAAACCTGCACTTGCGTTTGTTTTGATCCAGGAATGCAACACCTAATTCAACCACTGGGTGTCATACTTACATACTCCACCTTTATAAGTTACAAGTTATAAGGAGTTTACTCACTTTTTTTAAGTAAAGTCAACTTGCCACTTTTAAGGCAATGGATTTACCAGTCTGATCTCATGAGGAAACTTAAGTATTTTACGTTTTGTCAGTTTAGTGGCTTATTTGTACCAATTCGTAGGAGTTCAGTCATTTAGAGATTTTAAAAAGGAGGCGTGGCACCAAACTCCGCCCCTAAACCCAACCGTCATTGGGTATGAGCAAATAATACTAAGTTGTAGGAATTAAATTATACGAAATCATATGAATTAGCCACTAAATCAAAAAGTTACGAATTACCATGAGATTTACACACTTTTATTTTTTAAAGTAAACCAACTAATCGCTTTTTACAGTGCGCGATTCATATCAAAAATATGAAACTGGGGTTGATTCATGCAGTTATGTATTCCACTGATGAACAAAAGTAACTTTTTAATCTGACATGCTGCTTGTTCAAACTACCCATTTAAAAAAAGCTGAAACAACACAATTCTTGAGTTTTTTGGGGTCACAACTTAAATGTTTTATGTTCAATTCACTTAAATTTGTAAAAACTATAATCAGTGAACTTAATTCCTTTATGTTGTCCCAGGCTCATTCTGTAAACGTAGCGCTATATACATTTCCGGAGAGGGCCAAATACATTCCAGGAGGCAATTTTTTTTGCAGTTTTTGTTTTTGCGAATCCACCAGAGGGCGCTGTGTACGCTTTTGAATCCCATCACTATGGTCAACTCCTCTCTCCATCGCAAATCCTCTGACGTACATGGCGAGCTA